GTTATCAAAACTGGAGCAGACAAAATCTAGAGCAGTTGCTCAGGGCAACCAATCAGCTTCTCTCTTCACTTTGTTCAGGTACGATTTGAAAATGAGAGAAGCTGATTGGTTGCCATGCACAGCTGCTCCAGATTTTGTCTGCTCCAGTTTTGATAAATTCCCGGTGTGCTTTTATTATGCATTGCACAGTGACCTCACAGCGCCGTCACGGGCCCAGACTGATGTCCTCAGCCATGTGTACAGTACATAGCAGCAGGCGGAAGTCCTTGGTCTCCATAGCAACCTCCGCCGGTGTCCAAAGTCCGCCTGCCAGCTCACTACGCCAAAGATTTGCGGAATCTGCGTAACCTCCCCTGCAGTCTCACGTGGGGGCGCTCGTAGCGGTGCTATTCTCGGACAGCTACGCTACTTCCGTACGTGCGGCCTGTGCGAAGGTTGCGGGTCACTACCGCGGGTGAGAGCGCCACCGAGTCACCGAGGGTCCCCTGGGGGCCTGTGACATGCTGCTAGGGGTGTGATTAGTATTATCAAGGTATAATTATACTCGTTATAGTATTACTGCCATATGTGTTCTTATTAATGTTGTTATTATATTGACTATTCTGATGTGCAGGAAGATTTATTATTATTTTATTTATTATACTTTGCTATATCTCTACTTGTTATTGTGTATTATTATTGTTGTTGTTGTTACATGTACACATTGCTATGTTTCCATACTTGTACACATTGCTATTATGTAGTGAGTGGAGTACACAGAGGAGGTGACACCTTACATTCTGTCCTGTGTCACCAGAAGGGACATTACATTGTATCTCTGGCTCACCTTGTCAGTCTCTGTGTTATTATAAAATGTAAACATAGAGCTGTGGAATGTATACAATGTTGTCAATCATCATACACGGCGTACATGCCCCGCCCACATCTGTGTGTCCCGTACAGTGTATATTCTATACGGGGTCTTGTATATGGGACTTTTTCTATTGGGCTTCTATATGGTCTTTGTGATTCCTCCTATTTGGCTGTTCTATATAAGTCTTCTATGTGGGTCCTGTAGGGATTTTCTGTATGGGTCTTCTGTATAGGTTATGTATTTGACACTTTTATATGGGTTCTGTAGGGATCTTCTATATGTCTTTTGTACAGGTCTTCTAATGGATCTTCAATATTGGCTCTGTTTGGGTCTTCAGTTTGGATCTTCTAGATGGGTTTTTGTATATGTCTTCTACTGGATCATTTATATTGGTTATATATGGCTTCTGTTTGGTTCTGCTAATGGATTTTCTATAAAGGTCGTGTGTGGGTCTTCTAATTTATCTCCTATAATAGTTTTGTGTAGACCTTCTATATGGGTTCTGTTTGGGTCAGCTAATGGCTCTTCTATAGGGTCTCAAGGATTTGCTGACACTACAGAAGCCTCCCTGCTCTCTGGAAGTTGGCTGCTGGACAATAATTGGTTTCACAATTTAGCTTTTTAAAAATGTTCACGGTCTCCGTCACATTATCTGAGCTGGTCCCATCGATAGTCCCTAAGAGGACCTGTCATTACATTGCACACAGTGGTAACAGGAACAAAATGGGCAATACATTTCCAGGGAGGTCAGCTATGCATATGTCGACTTTAGGGAGCAAGCCGAGGTCTGTCCCGCCTCCTCCTGGTTCCCATACCTTGTTATTGGTCACTGCGGTTGTCTGTCCTGTTATAGGGGCAGTAGGGAGAATGGGGGTCAGGGTTTGATGGCAATGTTGGTTGGGGGCTGGTGGAAAGGTACATGGGGAGACTCCAGAACATTCTATGTCAGCTTAGTGCAGAAGCATGTCCTGTATGTATGGGGCTCCACCTGACTCTGCAATACTCTGCCAGCGGGAGGCCAATGTGGCTGAATGGAATGAGAATCTGTCACTTTGCCCCCGCTGGGGAGATTTCACCTCACTTCCTGTACCTGTGACGGCAAGACTAGAAATGAGGGGGGCGGTTGTCACCGGGCATGAGCTGGATTAGACTAGAATCCAGACCAGAACTTCCGATAATACATAACAGTCAGTGGACAGAACCGTCCATGCTTTGTGCGGATGGGAAGTTCAGACGTTTGCGTGTCTTAAACCTTTTTTCATCTTGTTGCAGGCGAGTCCTGTGAGGGGCCGTCATGCCGGATGAGCCGGATGGACAGAAGAAGCGGGCGGTGCTGGGGCGGTTGCTGGAGGAACCGGCCAGGTTTGCCTACGCTGGACTGTGCGCCATTTCTTTGGCTCACCTCTTCCCGGAGAAAGAACAAAGGTAATAAAGAGATTCAGGAGCGGACCCGTCGCTCCTCCATATTGTGTGCCCGGGACTCCTGGAAGCCCTAGGTAGATCTCACGTGGTACGTTATGATACAATTGGCTTTTATGGGGACAGAGAGGGCACTTCCTAAATCACCCAACTTCAACCCAACACCGTAATCCTGACCACTGTGTCTTGTACTATCCCCCGAGTGCCGGAGACACTGTCTTGTACTATCCCCCGAGTGCCGGTGACACGTAGGAAAATCTTTACGCCAATAGAAAAGGCGGCAGAATTCTGGCACCAATTTTCTTAATGCCGTAAATTATTCCTCAATCTTGGCACGGCTGTCCAGCTGCAGGATGCTCGAACGCGCCCCCCCCCCCATGTGGCTGCTGATCTCCATCCACGATTTGTTGTCACCTCCCACAGGGATTTCTGCAGGAAGTTTGTGGAGGATTTGGTGCCATGGCTGGACTTGTCCCCCACCGTCATCCCGGCCATGGAGGCGTTCGCCAGCGGATTGGGAGGAGAGGGGACGGACACCTTCACCAAAGTTCTGCTCGAGGATTCCGTCATGAAGGAGAAGCCGACTATTATCACCCAGGTAATGGGCCCGTCCGGGCTGATCAGTTCTGGGAAAAAAATACATCAAAAGGAAAAAGAAATGTATAATTTTGTGTCTTCTGATAAATGCACCAAAAATGGAGATCATTAAAGAAGTTTGGGGGAAGGGAAGGGGTCCTGGGTGCCTCCATCTTTGTTCATAGTGTCATGCTCAGCGTAGCGGTAAAGAGGCAGCTCCCTGCACCTATAAAGTTTTTATATTGCTGTCTGTCCTAGCGAAAGCTCCACCCCCTATTTTCTGTACAGGTGTCACCGAGACAGGAAGTAATAGAAAACCTCCCCAGTGGGGGTCAGAAATGAAAGCCTAGCAGCAATGTGAACTCTGCCCCACTCTATCCAAAGCCGAATGCAGGTTTTGCTCAGCCTCCCCTCCCCCAGTGATCAGTCTGCTGCAGGCAGGAGAAAGCATTTCCTCAGTCCCCCATCTCTCCTCGCCAAGAACTGCACAGACCCCAGGATTTACATGATCTCTCAGCTGACATCTCAGTCCAGGAAGTAGATGGTGACCCTGGATGATGCCTGAACAAAGATAGTGCTGATCTACTGGAGAGAAGAGCAGATGAAGACATTGTCAGGGGGAGTCATGTGATCTCGGGGGAGAGGTAATACACACCTGGGAGGGTCACATGACACATCACTCAGCATGATACAATATATCTAATGATAGTTGCAGAATATGTTTTTTTTCCCTGTGATTGGCTGCTTCCAGGCCTCTGACCTCTCTCCTTTTCCCTCCTAGGATTTGGTGGCGTTCTCTCTCCGCTATGGTACGTCTTGATTCTGTGTACTAGAGAGGAATTTTACAGTTTTGCACTGTCACAGAATTTCCATTCTGATTATGTGTCCTATGAAGACCCTCCGTGTTTGTCAACTGTAAATCTAAAATTCCTACTGTAAGAAAATACCCTGTACTTCTAGGAATGGGGAAGCACATGACTTCCTCCCATGTGACAGTGCTGGGTGTTGGCATTTGGCCATTCCGGGACCCCCGGGGGGCGGAGAGAGCGTCCCTCAGACCTGTCAGGATTTGGATCTTACGCAGCAATGGGGGAGTAAAGGGAAGGTGAGGGTGTTGGTTGTCCCTGGATAGGCAAAGCTTCGGTCCCCCTTAAGTTGTCTGCCACAGCCAGCCCAGGAAACTTCTGTCGTGTGTTCCCGCAGGGTATTACGACGCACGGAGCCGCGTTTTGATCTCCCACGTGTCCTGGCTGCTTCGCGTCCCTCCGGAAACCATAGAGCTGAGCGAGGAGTCCCTGATGGAGAGTCTGAAGGAAAGCACGGAGGAACCATCAGAGTAAGAGTTCACGCTACAGATAAAGCTAATGGGCCATCGTAGAAGATGTATCATTTGTGCCGGGTGAAAGCAGCGTCCCATACTTGTTCTCAAGTACCGCCAAGGTCCCGCAGTCACAGTTTTTTTTTTTTTTCTACCATCTTCTGTAAAAGGCCAAACTGTCCAAACAATTTTAGGAGTTGGGTCCAATTTGACGAATCAAAGGTCAGTTTTTATTCATTTTGTTTTCAACCCCTTTCTAAACCATGCATGCATAGACGTCTATAGGAGCATTTCCCTTTGTCTTGGCATCGGGACGCAGCCCCATAGAATTCTATGGAGCTGTAACGTGGGGACGTGGCTGTCGATGAATGTAAGCAAATACAGTTGCCGC